AAAATTAAAAGATTTTATATATTTTTTTAATTTTAACAGACAATACTAAGGATGGCAATTTCTTCTGCGACCCGTAGAGCTTCGCGGATTTCTCTGTCATGGAGATGGAGATTCTGAGAATATTCCTTCTCGTGGGGTGAGAAAAGAAGTATTTTTTTCCTCGTGAAATTTCGTGAAGAATTTCCTTCACTCAGTGAGGAACCATGGAGATTTATATAAAATAAAAAAATAAAAAAATTTATTTATATATAAAATTTTGAATATATTAACAATTAATTTTTACTTACTCAACCTAATTAATTGACCAATCTTTTTTTTTTTTTTTCAGTTTTTTCAAACCCAATTATATAGTCCAATCCAACCTATAATCTTCTTAAACTTAATTGCCTAAACCCAACCCAATTTGTTAGTAACTCTAGAACTAGAAGGACTATTTCAAATTTATGAGATTTGCGAATCTGCTTTGCAATTCTTCCTCTCTAGACTCCAATCTCCTCTCCTTTGCGCTGTAGCTCACTGGCTTTGTTTCTGTTCTTCAATCAATCAATTCCCTTCAACCTATCATTTTCAGCAACCTTCAAAAGGTAGTGCCCATAGCTCTGTTTCTATTCTTCAATTAGCTACTTGCAACTTACTTAAGCTTGAGTTGTGAGTATTTGTGAGTGTCTGAGTATCTGTGCTTGATGATTTCTTTTGAGGTGAAGTAGATCTCATTCTTTTGGTCTTATTATTTCTGATTTCATTTTTCCTCCGATAGTTCACAAGCTTGTTAGAATGTGATTTTTGTTGTTTATATGCCTGTGTAGTTTTTTTCTTGCATTCATAGTAAACGATAATCGTATAGTTATTTTGAGGCTTATTCAATCTCTTAATTCATTTTATTTTTAGTTAATTTCTCAAATAAGAAATGAGTATCGAGTTTTATTTGATGGAGACTCTAAATCTTTGCAGGGAGTTATTATTCCTCGCAAATATAAAGACAAAAGCTATTATTTTATTCTTCATAAAAATTCTCCATTAAATCTTTGTACCTGTCATTGACAATGATGGGAATGACAGGGATAGGGATGGGGTTGGGGATGAGGATGAGGAGAGGGTGCCCACCTCATGGGAACCATTGTCATCCCTAGACAATACTTATAATTACAAGACTTTAAAAATATAGAAAATTTGTTAAAAGTGGGGTGACGCGGAGCTTAACTTATCTCCAACGTGGCTCCGTCCCTGATCCCACATCACATCACTTTCTGATGGGAAATGAGAAGGCATGATTTTTAGGTTTTTATATAATTTTTTATATGTTATTTAATTAT